TGAAAATTCAAAGATAGGAAATAGGAACAAAAAATTGAATATATACTAACATGTTAAGTATTAATTTTTTTTTTTAATTTTTTTATGAAATCAAAATTTTTATATTGAATTATTTGAATTTAATTGAAAATGGTATAATAATTTAATTTTAGTTATTTAATTTTGTCATGATTTAAAATATATTTTCAAACATTTTAAATCATTTTAAATGGATAATTTCTATTTTAATATTAATAATATTTCTCAATTATATTAAAAAATAAATTTATAATTTTATTATATTTTAAAATAATAAAAACTATATTTATTAAAGTTTTAGTGACAATTAAAAAAAATAGTTCGTATAGTTCTATTTAAGAAACAACTATTTAAGAAAAACATTGTTCCAATGCATTTGACGACTATACTTTACTTTTGTGTAAGAAAATCAAAAATAGCAAGATGAAATTGTACAGCTATTGAATGCATGGGCCCAAAATTGAAATGTGGATTGTGCCATGTTTAATTCATTTGTCAAATATTGACCAAAGAAAGTAATAATTGTCTGACAAATCAATAAGTTGCATGCTGTTACAATAGGAACCACTCTATCCAACAACAAAGTTGCTGCAATTTTAAGGGTTGTGGTCACATTTAATATGTATTATTTAATGTAAGAAAATGAAATTTATAAACTTTGTTAAAAATCTTTGAATAGCTGTATTAAAATTTAAAAATAATAATCGTTTCATTAAAACTATTCAATTTATAGAAAATTCAAAAAAATTATTTTAACAATATTTATTTATGAAGGTGTAAAATTAAAAAATGAAGAACACTCTTTTTAAATTTTTAAGGACTTGTTGCTAAGTTGAGGAGGCTTTTTGTTTTATTGACATGTTTATAATTATTGTTTTTTTTATATGATGTGCATGTTATGGTGATTTATGGAATGATTGTTTTGCATGATTTATGTGTTTTTGTTAAATATTAAATGATTGAATCTTGTAAATTTTGTAATTCAGAGTTATAGTTTATGATGTTGTCTCTAGTTTAGGGTTAGGACATGATTGTGCTTATCGGATACTCCTCCTGAGTTACCCACTTTATTGGTTTTTATAAGGTGAATCATTCATGCATACATACATACGTAGGTATTCATCACATTGAAACTTATTATGGTGTATCCAAGGTGTTAGCATTACTACAAATAATATATTTAACATTGACTGCAAAATGCATTTAACCTCGACTACACAGGTGAGGTAACGAAAGGCGACACGAAAAACAATCACTTATCACTTCGGTGTTTGTAAAATCGAGGTTAAAATCTAAAAGGTCATTGATTCGATTTCCGACACCAACATTTTTATTATTTTCAGAACTGGATGGTGTGTCCAATACAACACTCGGTATTTTGTAGAACCGAGGTAATCTCAATGTTATTACCTCAATTTTATGTAAACATCAATGGGGATAAATTTTTTTGTATTGTCGTTTGCACCTGTATTACAGAACCATTTATAGAACCATATTCCTGAATATAGAACCAAATTTTGTAGATTTATGATACATAAACATTGTAGTATTATACATTTTCCCAATTTCTCAATCTGAGACATTGTACAACAAATATTCATTGATTAAACCAAATGCAAACCCAAAATGACACACGCCTTATAATTTTACATCAAAACTAAAACAAAAGATTAAGAAACAAAAGTAATAACCGAAATGGAAAGTTTTGTAGGTTATCCAATAGAATTTTTCACTGATCCTTAAGCATCTATAGTTTGAAAAACATTTGAAACTAATTAGGTCAATCAACAACAATTTTAAATATATATCACAAAGATTAAAAAGGAGTAAAATGATTAATTATAAATTTCAAAGGGATATCAAGCATTTACTTACTAGTTTTCTCATATCCCCTTTTAATGATCACGACGAATAGCATGCACATCATCTGAATTATTTTCTTCAGATTCTTGACATACATGTGTAGCTAAACAAAGACATCTCATAGTTAAAATCTTGATTTTCATCAGTACTATTAAGAAGATGTTTATCTTGAAGAACAATTGACCATCTAGTCTTAGAATAATCAGTGACATAAAAAACTTATTTTTCTTGGAATGCCATGATGAAAGGTTTATTCTTATAAGTTGTCTTATGGATATCAACATGTGTGAATCCTAATTCATCGATTTCTATACCAGTTTTACTGTCAATCCACTTGCACTTAAATAAAGACACTTTAAAAGAAACATAGTCAATCTCCAAAATCTCCTCAATGACCCTGACTTACGCTCTAGATGTTAGTATAGGATTGTCATCTTTGAAACTCGAAAAGTACATGGATTCAACCTCAACCATAACCCCACTATTTTGTATGGTGCTACGATCATCCTTTGATTTTGCGTAGAATAAATATTTAAAAATGTCGTATGCACTCCAAGTAATTACATTAAACTTAGGCATACGTGACAACCATTTGCAAAAATCTGATGCACTACTCTCTTTAGAAATACTTTCTTAAACCAACTTATGAAAGTTTTGTTATACTCTATCAACAATCATTTTCATTCATCCGGAAGAATTTTTTTTCTTTAAAATAATTTTATAAGGGGTTAAGTAAGGTTGAACTTCACTAAGGTTATCCAATATATGAAAATGTACTTAAAGAACTACTTCTCGGAAAAATGTATTAACATTTAAATATTGAATATCTCTACCATGATAAAAATCCATCATGATGAGACTAAGGAATTTCTAGAAAGCAAGCTTCTGACAAATAGTTAGTATAAAATTCAATAACTTCTTCTGTGATGTACTTTTCAAAGATCAAAGCTTTCGAACGATGATGATTCTTTTTACACCCTTTAAAAATATTCATGTAACACTCTACCAAATACCTCCATCATAAATAAAGTGGACCACAAATTCTAATATCTCTTACTAGATGAACAACTAAGAGAACCATAACGTCAAGAAATGAAGGATAGAAAAACATCTCTAATTGGCACAAGATAACTGCAGCTTTGTGCCATCTAGTATTCTTTGCGTCACTAACATTAGTAAACAATCTCTTGAACCTTGGAATTATCGGTTGGTATTACATCACCATGGCAGGAACACCATTACTAGTTACACCATCATTGTCATCAACAACATTGTCCTTCTGCTTGTAGGGTTACTCCCCGCATCTCGACACTCTTCAAGTTTTTAAAATCTTTCTATATAATATGCAATCATTACGACATGCATGTATTTTGACATAGTTCAAACCATTGGACACAATATCTTCTTGGCCTTATAAGTATGGTTCGGCAGCGTGTTACCTACGGGAAGCATTTCTTTCAACAATTCAAGCAATTTAGTGAAACTTTTACCTGTCACCCACCTCTTGCCTTAAGATTAAATAATCTTAACATACTCTAACAATCTTGTAAAAATTTTACATCCCAGATACAACGAATCTTCCATGTCTCTTCGCAAAGTATCTACCATATTAGCATTCTTGAAATCATAAACTCCAATATCACGAATGATGTCTCTATAGTATCATTCATAACTCCATCATCTTTAACTATATGTGACAGAGGTCTCTTTTTTGTTGTATTCACCATGCCATACCCATTTCGATATAATTTTGAATAATTCCATCACAACCATAATGATTGAATATAACATCCTTATGATGATTTTTGCGTATTAAAGGAGTTTTTAGAAGGACACAAAAAATATCATTATTATCAGGAAGTTTTTTTTTCCCGAAATCAAGAAATTGTTTCGCTCCATTCTCATACTCTTTACTTAACCTATTGGCTTTCATCTAATTGCGATTCATAATCACATAAAGCTTCTAAAAAAATAAAAATAGTACATAGCCAACAAAAATAAAGCTTCTCAACAACAACAACAACAACAACAGTAATAGAGAATAACAACAACAACAACAATAATGAATTAAATTAACAACAAGAACAAAAACAACACTAATAACATATCGGAGAAGAATGGTGAGACATTTTTTTTCGTTCACTAGGGCTTCTTGGAGAATAAGTGTTCTTCGTTGGTAGGAGAAGAAGTGTTTTTTTTGCTAGCGCTCGAGAAATGAATGAGATAGACACTGAGGGAATAAAAAATATAAAGAGAATAACAAGAACAACAGTAATGGAGAATAACAAGAACAACAATAATGGACCAAAGCAATAACAAGAACAACAATAATAATAACATACCGAAAAAATGGTGAAATAGTTTTTTCGATCGCTAGGGTTTCTGGGAGAATAAGTATTCTTTCGTTGGTTGGAGGAAAAAGTGTTTTTCGCTAGGACTCGAGAGAGTGAGTGAGGTGTGGTTGAAGATTCTGAGATTCATAGATTTTGGTTTTAGTCTTGTCAGAAAATTTTCTCGTAAACATTACAAATTATGACGAGTTAGGATTTATATTTGAAAATTGAAAGACATTAAGATTTGATAATAGGGATTTAGTTTTTTTTTTTTATAATGGTTTTGATTTAATGATTGTAATACAAATATGAATCATTATTTAAAGAAATAAAATTCAAAATTTCTTTATTCAATTTATTTTTTTAAAAGTAATTGACCTTATATGTTTTTTCATTCTAAAAACAAATAATTCGTGTGTTAAAATTATAAGATTTAATGTCCTAAAAAATTGGAATGTCACACTCATTGTATGTTTGGGAAACTGCCAATTATGATAAAGCCTTATATATTTTCTCACGTGATTTTGCTGCCATAATAAAAACAAAAACAGCAAGATGAAATCTTGACCACACAAAAAATAATTGTCACACAAATCACTACGTTGCATGCTGTTACAATATGAACCTCTCAATCCACCAACAAAGTTCTGCAATTTTCAAATTGGTTGGTGTTCACATTTAATATGTACAGTTATTGTAAGAAAAAGAAATTTAAAATATTTGAAACTTTATATTACCTTCCTTCTCTCAATCTGTCTAGTTAGAAAGTAATTGAAGCTTGCAAAGATGAACATGTTGCTTTTTTCATGTCATAGTTTTCAGATTCTACTTGCTCTTGGTGTGCTTTCCATGTTAACTCACATTGAAGCTTCTACTAAATCAAAGGTTGAATACCTTCCTGGCTTTCAAGGACCACTTCCTTTTGAACTTGAAACTGGGTAATCACTCTTAACCATTCCATTTTCTATTTTAATATATATTTTTGGCTTAAACAGTTTATAAATATCAGTTATTTTTTTAGTCTGAGTTTTCATATTTTATTTTTTGCGTGCGGTTTGCTGTTTAAAACAAAAATATGTAGGAAAATCTGCAGATTTTTTTGTAGATTTTCCTACAATTTTTTTTTTTAGATTTTCGCTCTAGGACTAAAACGCACTCAAAAAATGAGATATAAAGACTCAAATTAATTACAGAGACCAAAATCAAAAATTCGCTTAACATAAGAAGATCAGAAGTGCATTTAAACTTATATATTTTTTTTTCAATATTCCATTCCAATTGATAGGTATGTAGGGTTAGGGGAAAATGATGATGATGATGATATGCAAGTGTTCTACTATTTTGTGAAATCAGAGAATAATCCTCAAAAAGACCCTCTTATGCTTTGGTTAAGTGGTGGTCCTGGTTGCTCTTCTTTGTCTGGACTTGTTTATGAAATAGGTAATTTTTAAAGCATTTTTGTGTGTGTTGGGTTTAGCTTATGATTAGAACTTATGATGCTGAAAGTAATTAACAGGTCCAATTGCATTTGAAATAAAGAAGTACAACGGGAGCATTCCTAGTCTGATCTCGAGGCCCCACTCATTGACAAAGGTGTACACACTGCTGATTTCATTCACTCATTCTACAAAATCTAAACATTCATTCTCAGTTTTTTTTATCGAAACTTTATTTACTGGTAGTAATGCTAGTGTTTTTCTATCAGATAAGCAACATTGTTTTTCCTGATTTGCCACTCGGAACCGGGTTCTCATATGCAAAAAATGTCAATTCTCATCGAAGCGATTCGAAGATGGTTCACCATGTTCATCAATTTCTTAGAAAGGTGTGTTCATTACGCTACACATTACTGTATATGTATAGATCATCATGTTAATTATCTTGCATGTCTGTACTTGTAGTGGTTGATTGATCATCCTGAATTTATTTCAAATGAATTCTATTTGGGAGGAGATTCATATTCTGGCATTCCTATCCCTGCGGTTGCTCAAGAAATTTCAAATGGTTAGAGTTTTTAAATGATTTGGTTTATAAGATGCATCATTCCATGAATTAATTGAAAAAATATATAATTTGCATCCATTTCTTTGATTAACAGGAAACGATAAACATCTCCAACCATTGATAAATCTCCAGGTTTCTAACCATAATTTATATATTTTGGTTTCAATTACTAATGAAAATTTTATAGTTTTCTTCTATATGAATTATTAAAGTTAATTCAATTTTAAAATTTTCAGGGATATATACTAGGTGACCCTATAACAACACGTAAAGAAAAAAATTATCAAATCCCATATGCTCGTGGAATGGGGCTCATTTCTAATGAGCTATTTGAGGTATTATTCTTAGTCATTTTTAATAAATTTACATTGAATTTTCAATTTGATTTCGATTATGATGTGTTTGCATGGTCGAACGTTCATTAAAAATGACTTTTACAACAATGACAACAGTCACTACAACAAAATTGCCAAAGAGAGTACGTTGACGTAGATTCCAAAAATGCATTATGTTTAACAGATCTTCAGTCCTATAGACAGGCAAGTAAACTATCTCAATTATATATATATATATATATATATATATATATATATATATATATATATATATATATATATATATATATATATATATATATATATATATATATATATATATATATATATATATATATATATATATATATATATATATATATATATTCATGAATTTTAATTATAATTATTAAACGATTATTTTTATCTTCAGTGTTTTGTAGGAATTAGATATGATAATATTTTGGATCGCTTTTGTAAAGATGATTCGGATCTATGGAGGAGATCTTTAATTGAAGAGTCTAAAGAATCTCTTAGTTATCAACCCATAGTGCCGGATATAAAATGTCAAGTAATTTTTTATTTCATAAATCATTTTAAGTTATTTAAAAATAAAATTCTATAATGCTTTAAGTTTCTTTTATCTTGGTCACCTTTTTTTTTACGTAGATTTACAAAGAGTATCTCAACAAAAAATGGGCTGACGAAGAGCCTGTTCGCAAAGCACTGCACGTTCGAGAGGTTTTGGCATGATAAATTTATAAACTCATTATATCTAAGCTACATACAAACTAAGTTATATCCTACAAAGAACATGGTTTTGAGTTTTGCAGGGTACTGTAGGAAAATGGACCCGTTGTTACAGGTATCATTATAAGTGTGATATCTCCAACAGCTTTGAATTTCATGTAAATCTCAGCAAAAAAGGATTTCGCTCTTTGATATATAAGTGAGGATTTTATTTTTGTGATGAAGTGCTTATTTTTTTAAGTCATGTGAATTAAGTAATCAATTGATGTATTGTTGTTGGCAGTGGGGATCATGATGCAGTTGTTCCTTTCTTATCTACTGAAGCTTGGATAAAAAACTTAAACTACTCTATTGTAGATGATTGGAGATCATGGCTAGTTAAAGATCAAGTAGCAGGGTAAGAGAAATTGTATCATTTTCTTAAATAAATTCTTGAAATTAAGAAACCATGTTGTGATATTAAATTTGTTCAATTTCTTACCAAAAACTCCATAACTCGATATCACAATATATATTCTTGTTTAAATTAAAAATTATATTTCATGCAGATACACGAGAACATATTCTAATCGAATGACATTTGCAACTGTAAAGGTAATACTTTTTTTGTTCTTTTAATAAAAACACTCAATTTGGTGAAATTTTTATGAGTATACAAATTTGTTATCTTGATTTTTGTTCAATTAATTACAGGGTTCAGGACATATAACTTTTGATTATACTCCGGAACAATCTTTTGTCTTGTTATATAGATGGATGTCTAATATTCCTTTGTAAACGGGCGCCTAAGATGGCATAAATATGAGATGCTCATATGTCAATGATTTCATTTATCTTAAAATAAAAAATTGGCAATATTTGAACAATGCCACTATGTAATGCAAGTATGATTTTGTATTGGAGGCTGATTTGATAAACAATAAATATGTAGCTTGTAAGATGATACTTAGTAAGCGAGCGATATCTATAATAAAAAATAAAATTATGGTGGTTGATGAGATTGTGGGTCTCGCTCCCACGTATCCTCAGGTACAATGAGGAATTTAAAGTTACGTAGTTCTGTATAAAAACTATGTATTGGTTGTTTGATTTTATTGAACAAAATTTTAGATTAGCAGTCAAACGTTGTTTGTGCTCACGATTGGAGCCTTAAATTGTTTGTTTGTATCGTTGTAGAAATGACTAAGCGATGTTCTTTTGTAAAAAAAAAAGGTTTTCGATCACACAGGGTGAGAAAATAGGTGTCATACTCCAATTTTGACCCTGAATCACTAAATCAATACATTCATCATAAGTTTAACATTATTTGTATATCATAGCATGCATTTCATCTTGCAAAATGCTTAAAATGTCAATCAGAGTAAATTTTTAGATCTACAGACAGACCGATCGAACTGATTCACAAACGTAAATGAAATTAGCATTCGAAAAATTTCAAAATCAAGCTTACATACGTCAATTTTATTAATCTACGGTTCACATAGTTTAACGTGGTGTACTCGTTTTATTTTTTCGACTACTTTTTTGTCGCATTTTGATCATTCTGAACATTTTAAACCAGTCATTTATTATTTCAAAAATAGAATTTCATTTCGCGCTGATCATTTTGGTGCATTCATTTTAATTTTTCAGACACTTTTGTGCTTGACTTTTATTCATTTTGAGTTCGTTATTTTTACTTTTTTGTCAAAATTGTTTGAAAAAAATAAATAGAATTAATATAGTATTAAATTTTATTTTATTTTGCTTTATTTAAAATATTTGCATTTTATTTCATAAATTTGTAAGACTTATTTTTACCTCACAAAAATAAATGTTTAAGAGCTTTTGTGTCATTGCATTTAGTCTTGTAACCCTAGTGTATACTATATCATGAACATGAACAAACTCCCCATACATCACTCCATGCAATTCCTTCATATAACACCCAAACCACATATGTTTCTGCAAATATCATGATAGACAGAGTAGAGTCTTGAGTTGTTGTTTGTTATCTTTAACTTCTATTAGGGTTTTTTAATATTCTTCTTTCTCAGAGGCAAGTGACGGCGACCATTGAAGGGTTGTTGGAGCTTTTTCTCTTCTTCTTCCTTCCTTCGCTCCGTTTTGCTTGCATGTCGCCTCTTCTTCTACCTATGAGCCCAGATTACAACGGCGAGGGTCAATGGTGGTGTTCTTGATCGGTGATGAGGCTTCCTTTGAGGCCAGTAATCTCGTTGTCCGTCGGACGGTGTTGGTGGCGGCACTGCTATTTTGAACGCGTAAGGTTCTTCTTTCTCTTTTCTTCGAACTCGTGAGCTTTGGTTTTTTCGGAAAGCTCATCTTCTTCTTCCGGAGATGATGATGATGATGAAGCATCTGCTTTCGAATATGGCCGCTTGCACCGCTTTGGTTCACTTTAGGTTTCTTCTGATTTCTTGATTGAGTGTTGGTTCTGATGTTCTTCCAGAACTCCTTTGTTGCTTATCTGATGTCCTTCCAGATATATCTTCAAACTTGTCTCGTACATTTATTGTTTTCCTAAATGTTTCGGATGTACCTTCAAAGACCTTGTCGTCATCTCATGCTCTTATGGATGTTTTCATTTTGTTTCTTTGTCCCCGAGTTTATTCGATGTTTTTCCGATTATCTCTGGTGAGTTTCAGAGTTCATTCGATGTTCTTTCGGATGTTTCTGATATTTGTTTCTCCTTGTATATCTTCCGATGATTCTTGAAGATCTCGCTCGATCTATTCGTTTAAAGGAATATCCCGGAAACTCCACCACTTGTCGTTTACCTGATCCTACCGCCGTGCGGATCCTGTGTTACCTTGTCATCCTAGAGTTGTCTTGCCATGTGTCGCATACTGAGTGGCTAGGCATGAAATTTGAGAAATGTCAATGCTGATGTCAAACTGTTCCACTCTTTCTTTCCCTTTTTTTTTACTATTTTTATTTTATTTTTATTATTATTTGTTATATTGTTATTTTTTTATATTTTAAGATTTGGATTAATTTTATAGACTTTTGGGCTCATGTGTTGCACTGTTTTGAATGTTCACATACCTTTATTTACTCTTCACACACTCATGATTATTTTGTACATTCTTATTAGTTGTTTTTGTTATTTTGACTAGTTTTAATTAGTAGTTAATTTATTGTTTAGATTTTTTAATTAATTAGTTAATTATAGTTTTAGTTGCAACATTTTTATTTGATTACAAAGTGATTGTTTGATTATTCATTCAGTCGATTGTGTTGTGCTTTTGGATCTTAATATGTTTTAGCTTCCGAAAGTAGCTTGAACGCATAGATTCGGTTGCTCGACTTCTTATAGAGTGATTTCTACATGAACTCATTATAAGTTATCTTATATCTAAATTCAATTGGTTTCATTTTCGATTTCCAGTCTCGTGGCTTACCATCGGCCCTTCTTGCAATTAGATCTTTTTGTTTGTTTTATTTGTTTTATTAGTTTGTATTTTAATTGCTTTATCACATCCCCCGATTGACAAGTATATTCCACACCCCTTTGATTGTAATTTGCATTTATGTGTCTTTATTTTCTTGCCTTTAGTTAGACAAATTAACCATTTAAATAACAAATAAAATATAAAATCCACCCTTTTGAAAAAAAACAAAAATAAAGTTTGATACAACGTCAAGTTATTTTTCTCTAGACAAACCACTTCAAACCATTTCCTCTCCGTTTCACTTCATATTCAAATCATTTCAAACGTCTAATCACTTCAAACCTTTTTCATAACCAGAAACAAACTTTGATCAATATCTAGTGCATTTTCTCAATAAAAAACTCAAAACATCTAAAAATATCAAACCCTTTTCTAAATAAGATGAAAAGGGAACGGGGTGGATACCACGATTCTCATAGGATATAACTAAAGATTCTTCTAAAAATATCATCAACAGCAAAAAAATTCTTCTCCATTAAAACAATTGGAATAAAACGCTTTCTAACTAAAGAGCTCATCTAGTGTCATAGCATTATGAAATAATTAGTCCACTTGGATTTTGTTAAATGAGTTCAGTTAGCAGTTATATAAAAACAATTAATTATATAAAAACAAATCAAAAGCATATATTTTGATAACTATAACAAAATATAACTTTATAAGTTCTTATTTCTCAATGATTAGTCCACTTGTATTTTGTTAAATCAGTTAGCAAGTATATAAAAACATTTAGTTATAATAATGTGAGTTCAAACTTAAACATCTTATTGAATTTCAGCAACTCAACTGTTAAATTAAAAAATAAATTCACTTGTAACAATTTAATTGAAAAACACTTGCAACATGACTATTGTTGTGGTATTTTCAAGTCCGAGTCTATCCACAATGTTCTCACTTAAATAGAAATTTTTTTCATCCACGTACAAGTGTACGTCGTTGACACTCTTCAACAGAACCCCTCATTCTCACCACTTTATAAATGCTTAAATTTCCATATTTCTAACCAATCCATATTTCTAACCAATGTGCGGCTATTACTCATACTACTTACACTTGTTATACTAAATACTCCCCCTCAAATGTGAGTCTATCTATAATATTTCCCTCTTAAGGAGAAGCTTTTTTCCTCCACATACACCTCAAGTGTGAATCTTTCTATAATTTTCCCCTTTAAGAAAAGACTCTTTCCATCTACATAACACCTCATACCAAGACTCTTTCCATCTACATAACACCTCATACCCACCACCTATAGAAAGTACTTTCAATACAACAAAGGAGACACCGCATATTCACCTAAAATCTTAAAATAATACCGCATATTCACCTAAAATCTTAAAATAATACGTATATAAATTATCCTCTCGACATTTCTAACTAAGGTGGAACTATAACCACTTTATACTCACAACTATAGACAAAAAGCAAATATTAGGACCAAATATAATTTGACCCCAATATCATTGGCTACCAAAAAAGATTAGTCTAGTTAGTAAGATGAAATTCACTCACATCCTACAAGCACTTGAAAAATCACAATACACAGCAAATATGGCGAAAGAAATAAATTGCAATGGCATTATAAAATAGAATCAAGATAAGAATAATAACATGATATAAAACATATATGCTTCATCTGGTACAGCATTTTCTTCTCTACTTGAATTTAACTTAATTGTTAGTTTCTGCAATTTAAGTTCATGGCCCTAAAAGCAAAGGTGCCTTTTTCTTTTCATTGTTGGAATCCTTCTTGGAATTAGGGTTTCCAGCAGAGGCTCTAAGAGGAGGCTCAAAGTGTTTGCTAGCAACATCAGGAGGAGGTGCATCTTCTCCTGGAAGCACAAGAAGACCTCTCTCTCGGAGTGAAGACGGTTCGTCAAAGCATGTACTCCAAAGACAGTCTACAAGTAGCCTTTCCTCCCTGATTGCTTCAAGGTCCTCGACCGACATTAAACCGATGCAGTTTATTCGTTCTTGAAGAAGTTGCTTGATTTTTTCATTATCTTCTGAAGAGCTATCAGAGCTGTCTTTTGCATCACGGGCGAGTTCGAGAAGGCCTCGGAGAGAAGACTCGCGGACATCCACGTCTTCACTAGTGGCAGCAAGGTGCATCATTATGCGAGGAAATCCTAGCTCCTTCACAATGTTGCAGTCTGAACTGTTTTCTTGTAATAAATAATGTATCAAGTTGAGAGCCTTCCTGAAACGATTGTGAAATTAAAATTGAGTTTTCCCTGAAATAATCAGTATAATAAAAAATTATCAGGAAGAAAACCTTAGTTACCTTTGGAATCTAACATTTTCAGAGTTCAGCGCATCTCTTAAAGCTGCATAACCATTTGCCAGACGAAATGCAGTGACACCGGGCTTATTGTGTCGAATTAGTGCTGTCAAGTTCCCCAAAATAGATATAAGTCAATATAAGTCAATATCATTCCAACATAAGTCAATATCATTCCAACCCGAGAAACAAAATATCATTGAAAAATAAAATAGTACATACAAGATAGTGCACCCAGTGCTTTAGCTCGAGAATTCACATCAGGATCTGAACTGAAATTTGACACAAGAGGTTCAAAGCCATTCGCTTCCATAACAAGTTGTTGACTTCGAGGATTATTTTGGACTATTGTTGTCACAACATCAGCAGCTTTGGCTCGAATATTGGCATGAGAGTTCTTGAGGTAACCAAGAAGAGGAACCAGGCCACCAATTGAGTGGAGATCTGGAGAACAAGTTAGCAAGAAATAGGTGAGACATTCAGTTGTTAAAACAAAGAAACCACAAATCCATTAACCAACCAATTATCGACAGCCACAGACACTTCGCATAAAAAAATTGTACAGAATAATGATTGTCAAATAATTGGTGTCCCTATATTCTTCAACAAAATCAAGTTCAAGCCATTCCAAATACTAACCATTGGCCATATCAATCGATTCAACATGATCTTGCAACTCATCCAACATATCTGTGGAAAATTCATGTCAGAAACCACCCGAGTTAGTAT